ATTACAGTATGGGGTAGGTTCTACATTTCTATAATGGATAAAAAGTCGCTAATAGTCTTTTATATCCCATATGTTACGTATATATCAAAATTCTATAGTTATTGATTATGCCCTTAACGCACTATAAGATAAACAAATAAAATCACTTTCACATTTTTATTATTAGTAAGAATTAATAAGTATTTGGGGGGGGGGGGGGAGGGTCTGCCATTAGTGATGTTTTAATAGGGACTGCTGCTGCTGTCTATCTCTCGACTATTTAGTTCTCTTAGTCGCCTTTTACGACACCCACGGGAAAGGAAGAGGTGGCTCATTCTAGGCCGAGTTCACACGGTAATAGAATAATAGGGTTTATTAATTAGAAGCTACTAAATTTGTTGCACTTATTTTCTGTCCTTTTGTTATTTAGTAATTAAAAAATGTCCACTTTTTGGTCCTTTTTTCGTTGACAAAACGGACAAGATGAATCGTCATAAATTATGACCCAAATATTGAAGTGATTATTTTTGTACCAAATTTCTTTTTATAATGTATATAGAAATATACATAAAGAATAAATATTTTTTTTATGGATGTTAATGGAAAAGTAACTCCGTTTGCGCTAATGTTATGCGCTGGCGGGGCACCAGTGAGGGATGATAGGTGAGAATGAAAAAGGCAGGTCAGTTAGCCCATCATGATGAATACACTTGGAATTCAGCACGATGGTTTTCAGGGGGGACCCCGTGGAGGTCGACTTGTTACGGTAAATTGCTAGCAATGAGACTGGTAGTCCACATTATTAAAAATCTCTTCCTCTCTCTCTACCTGTAAGGGCTATAACCCTAAATTTTTCTTCTTTTTCTGATATTTATATTAAAAAAGAATGTACAAATGTAAGCCCGATTGCAAAAGAAATTATCAAAATCGGTCCACAATTGCCGATTCACAATTGAAGTAACTTTTTTTGCGAAACAAAAAAACATCTACTTGTTGAAGTTAGTTACAGTATATTTCGAAAGAAAAATTTTAAACCACAACGTTAAAGGTTTGCTCAGTTCTAAAATTCTTTTCCGCTGTTTTCTTTTGACCGCTAACATGCTTCTTTCAATCGGTTGCTGGCAAGTTGCCATTTTTTCCAATTGTCTTTTTGAGAGCATCGACTTGGCAACCGTTATACAGGGGCAGGTATAGTATGAGTTAAATATTCTTTAGCCTATATTAGAGAGACTACTCGACGGATTTTAACGAAACTTGGTACAATTATTCTTCATACTCCTGGACAGGTTATAGTATACTTTTCATCACGCTACGATCAATAGGAGCAGACTAGTGAAGGAAAATATTGGGAAAACGGGAGAAGTTACTCCAGTTTTAATTTTCCGTCGCGTGTCAATGGCCAATTTTTAAAATGTAAAAATGTCCACCCGTACGACGCTGGGACGGGCCGCTAGTATAAAAAATAGGTATAAAAAATAATTCTCCAGTATTGGAAAACATCGATATAATAAACTAAATTAAACTGAGTGACGGTGATTTTCTCTCTGCCATGTTGGATTTTAATGTGCTTTGCGAAATGCAGTTACGACTGTCACAGAGGAAATAATCAATAAATACCTGTGACTATTCTCTCTCTCTCTTCGTCCTCTTCATTACTGAAGGTCGTGTCTTTGAAAGGTGTCTGTTGCCTCTCTTATGATGTTATTCCATTTTGCACGGCCTTCAGCTTCTCGCAGGGCATCTGCAATTGTTAGTCCCGTAACGGCGGTTACTTGGTCCGACCATCGATTTGGCGATCGTCCGCGTGGTCTTTTCCCCTCTATCTTGCCTACAACCATTAGTTTGTCCAGATTGTCGGACTGTCGTCGAGCAACATGACCGAAGTATCCAAGAATCCTCCGATAGCAGACTGTCGAGAGCCTATCTTTTATGCGAAGTTGCGTCAGGATATGATTATTCTATTCGGGATATATTCATGAGGACTTTTCTTCTATATACTATGTTTTTTTTTTTCAAACAAAGTATTTATTTATGGTGACTCGATTGCAATTATTTTGTTTAATTCCGCTTCCATTACTATACACTTGGCTACTAACATTTGAAAATTGATTACTATTATTATTAATAGAAGTTCTACGATCTTCCATATTAGTCATTATTATCCGACCGTTATTCAGTCCACGCACATGTCGCAAAATAATTATTAAAAACGTAAGTTCAGTAAAATAAATATTTAGTGCTTAAACATTTAAACACTTTAACATTTTAACTCTCTATTCTTGATTATTTTTTACAACACAGGAGGCAAACGAGCACGCCGCTCATCTGATGGTAAGTGACTACCGCCGCTTATGATCGATCACCCACAACACTAACGGCATTGCAGGTGTGCTGCCGGCCTTTATAAAAGGAATATGCTCTTTACTTGAAGGTTATGATGTCGTATCGGTTCGGGAATACTGCTGCTGGAAGTTGATTCCAAATAGTGGTTGTGCGTGGAAGAAAGTGCTTTGAAAAACGCACGTAGAGGACCTATACTATTGATGATAATAAAAAATATCAATAAAAATAAACATAAAGAAAACTAGTAAAATGGTGTCACTCAGATTAATGCTATGAACTTTTAAACATGACGCTGATTAAACGCACTATGCATTTGTCAAATGCAGAAAAACTATATTATCTGTACGAGTATATATAAAAATTAATGCCATTTTTCGTTGTAATTTTATAACTCAAGAACGGGCTCATCTATCCAAACCGAATGTTTAGACATTGTTCGGACTATTTAGTAGATGGTTTATGTGAAGTTTGCACAAAATCGGTCGAGCGGTTCTTTATTTATCATATGTTATTTTTTGTAACAAATTAATTCAATAAATGGCGGATCATTTTGTTAATGGGGACTTTTGTGTTAAATTCAAACTTTTTTAAGATGGAGATTGTGCTGTCAAATTGAAACTTTTTTCAGTGTTAACAGTACAAGCATGTTGTTGTGTCATTCATGCGGTCATTTAATTTTAGACGTACTTCGATTAAAGCAAATTGTCAGCGATATTGATGTTAAAATGATTGTTTTTTATTATATCACTTTATACGTAGCGAAGCACGTACCTTGCCGCTAGTTATTTATAATATTTAATATATATATATAATATGTTACTGTAGGACAATATGTTTTCATAGTATACATAATTACATTATATACATTAATATTTTATACATACTACAAGAATAATTTATCGAAAAATTTGGTATAATAACAATTTTAATTTTATTATTTTTAAAGTACTTAGTCTGTTATTAATAAATGTAGGTACACATTTTGAAACAAAATGTTTAAGAAATTAATATAATTTAAAATAAATATCTAATACATTCGTCTACACTATATTATATTCAAATTCGGCATAATTGTGACAAATAACTTTTAAATAGTAATATCGTAAGATAGAGTGACTAGGAAGACGTGTGTGAAAGAAATGTTGAGTTGCTCATTTGGAATGGATGGATGAAAGAAGAATTACCAAAGTGATATATCGAGCACGGATGAGCGGAGATGTGGGTAGGGGCCGCCTTAGACGGACGTATGTCGACTAAATAGGTGATGTGCCGAAAAAGGGCTAAGTTAAAGGCACTCGTTAGAACGTGAGTTTGTTTACTACTTGTTTTTTTTTTTTTTAACAAACGAACTTATTTTTTTTATATTAGTTGAACTAAAATTAGATTTTGACATCTCGGTAAATTATTGATGCTTATTCATTCCTCGCTTTTCGTGGGTAGGCAAAGTAGATAAAATATTAACTGTGAAACCAATACAGGGACTGATTTATCTAAAAATGATAAAGGTAAAAAAAAATACACAGTTTTCTACTCCGCAATAAAAAAACGGCAACGTAGCTTGTATCGTCACAAAATTCGTATGAGACCAACATAGTATTAATATCTATTAATTAAATTGGCGATATAATCATTTTCGTCAGGGGGAAAGGGATCGTTAGTAATGGGGTCTAACTGACCCATTGCTAGCAATACACCCTATCAGGTCGACTTCCACGCTGTTCCTCCTAGCAACCATCGTGGTTAATTCTAGTTGAATTCATCACAATGGGCTAACTGAACTGCTTTCATCGTCACCTATCATGGGTCTCAAAAAAATCTATTTCGTCAATTACAATTTTCATAATCACGAAAGAACTTTATTTGCTCTCTCATTCGTAAAAAAAATTCTTTAATCGTCACGAAACTAAATGGACATTATAGTAAACCTTATTAATTATCCAAATATAATATATAAGTCTATTAAAATCGGTTCAGAATTGGCGACATAATCGATTTTATCAATCACATTTTTTATAATCACGAAAGAACTTTTTTCGCTCTCTCTTTTTTTTATAAAGAGTAGCTTTAATCGTCACAATAATAAAAAAGGTCATAGAAGTAAACCTTATTAATTGAAGAGAGATATATTTTTAAATTGATTTCGATTAACAACATTAGATTATCAGAACTTCTTTCTGAATGTCACTTAAAATATATTTTTAAAACAATACTTTTTATCTAATTTATTGTTAGAGGAAAAAGGTTATAAAGTTAGTTAGGTAGGTTTATAAATATAAATATTTATGAAACCTTTTAACATTTTATATTTATAAATATTTGTAATGGAATAATTCAAAAAATACTTAATTGATTTTCAAAATTCTTATACCCATAGAAAGTTAAATTAACTGCCGAGGTTTACCCTAAAAACTACAGTATGGGGTTCTTCAAAAAGTATTATATAAATTATGGTTTCTTTAGGATCGGCAACGCGCAAGTGACACCTCTAGTGTTGCAGGCGTCCATAGGCTACAGTGACCTTTCACTATAGGACATGCTGTATGCTTGTTTGCTATCTTTGTAGCATAAAAAAAAAGAAAAATGCGTTGTATTTTATTAAAAAAAATAGAGATCTATTTATTTACCCGTGTAAATCCGGGTCGGGTCGGTCTAGGTATCTGATAATTAACAGTACTCACTGTTAGTTTGGTTGAGCCCGCGTGTGAGTATTTGGGTAGCATTCATGTTAGCACCGTTGTCGCTCGCCCTCCTGAAAAAAATACATATATAAAAATGTGTAACTCTTTAAAAACTTAGAACGTACAATCATTGTCGTCATCATCATATATCACTACTGACAAAACTCCCCAAGGGTGAGGCTTATGTTCAGCAGTGAACAGTTAAAGGCTGGTATGATAATGATAATATCATTTATAGTTGGTAAGATATTTTATGTATGTCAATAACGCAGGCGGAGGTCTTCCATTCAATTTTATCTTATAAAAAAGGTCATTGAGTTTGTAAAGTTTGTATCTATATTAAATAAACATTATCAATGAAAAGTTTTAACGGGAGCATCGAACGCTCCCTTGAGTTTAAAAAGGTCTAAGCGAAGGTGATCCGACACATTAACCTTTTCACACGCTATGATAAATGAACTAGTTCGTATTTGTAAGATACCTCTGAAAAAATGGCCAATGTAATGTAGGTACTTATGTAATCTATACATACATACATGTTATGTGTGTATGTATGTGTGTGTGTGTATATATGTATGTATGTATATGTGTGTGTATGTATGTATTTATATATTTTGCATATATAAAAACCGATCAATTGTGTTATTATGCGAATGTGAAAACGATTCATGGATTAACATAGATATAAATTTGATTATGTATTGACTGTAATTCAGCTGTACGTTTTCCAAAAAATAAATAAAAATAAATACATTAAGGAATATATATTTTAAAAATATCAAGAAATATTATAGTTTTTATTTATAAAGGATTACGGTAAATAAGTTAAAATTTTTTGTATATGTATGATATATGGAAAAAGTAGTTTTGTTTCTTAGGAATATAAGATTTAAATCAATTGTAAACGTTGAAGAATTGATGCGTAGTGCAGTGATTCGAGCGTTCGTTCGTTTTACAGAAAGCGCACGTAGTCGACTGCATTTCGTGAAATGCGTGTGTAGTCGACCGCGTTCTATGGAATGCGTGTATAGCCTACTGCCTTCTATAGAATGCGCGTGTAGCTTACTGACTTATTAAAATGACACTTTAATATAATGTAATAAATGCTAATATCAACATTTATTTACTGTTAAAATTATTTTATTTTCTTTGTAGCATTGTAATCTCCGCCGAGATCCCTCATTAATTATATATACATACGTATATTTTATAACTTTAATTTTGATCGTATAATTTTTTTAATTTATAAAACGTTAACTTGCTTTTGAATGGCAACTGATTGTGTGTGAAATATTTATAACATACTAGACTAGTCAATGTTATGAAAATTATAAACTTGGCTGTGAGGTTCTCATAAATTATGTTGGCAAAGTTGCGACGTACGAGTAAGCATACATTTTTCATATTTTAATGTTTTTGATGGGATAACTTAATGTTGGGTAAGTATATCCATAACAAAGTAGAATAACGACGTCGAATAATAATATTATAATGGGATTACTGTGTGAATATGTATTTACAATGTGTGACTTCAGGATTAGCTTTTATTAATATACAATGTACGTTCCTTTTGGCATATCACTATCAAGGAATTTTATCATTCAATTAATATGGGAGACTTTGTACAAAAGTCGTTTGCTTGGGCACCTCTTGAGTTTCTACCGTGAAGCAGTTGTGTTTGCATGGCTGTGTTTCGGTTCGAAGGGTGGGATATGGCAGTGAATTTGTAGGGTACAGAGTAATAATACCCGAGTCCTCAGGAATGGCAACGTATGGGCGGTATCATGGGCGAAACAGTATACTCGTTATGTTTATAGTACTGCTCATCCTATAGGCGACGGTTACCACTTTCCATCAGGTGGGCCGTCAGTTTGTTTGCCATTCTAAGTTGCATAAAAAAAAATTGTATCCATTCCCTAAAATATTTTTTGTCTATTTTGCATTATCTTACATTATATTTAGTCTATATATGTATTTTTACCATTAAATTTTTTTTTCTGTTACTATTGGGATTACGCATAAACATAGATAGAGAATACAAGGCATAGAATAGGCCACCCCTTCCTTTCCCGTGGGTGTCGTAAGAGGCGACTAAGGGAAGGCAAAGGATGAGCAGCAGCGTCCCTCTTAAAAGATCTATAAAGCCTAACTGCGGTTGCCAATCCGCCTACCAAGCATGGCAACTACTAGCAAAACCCCCCAGGGGGTAGGTTTATGTTCAGCAGTGGACAGTTAACGCCTGATATGGCGATGATGACCATTAAGATTAGCTTAGAAACATCAGTTAAATCATTACAATTTATATAAAATATAATTTTAAGTAATATGATTACTTTAAAATATGTTAATAATTATTATAATATACTTGTAGTTGAATAAAATGATGACTGAGTAGTTCGTCATACTCGTGAACGAATATTGTAGGAATCAGTTTACTTTAAACGACTTTTTTTCTTAGTTTCAATTTCATTTTTATTATATAAATTTATATGATTTTGAAACATTTGGCAGTTTGTGTTCACACACCAAGGGTTCTGTACATCAATATTCGTATATACGACATAAAATTACTTTTATTTTAATTTTCATATTCTAAAAAAGAAAATATTTTTTTATTTAGTTTTATTACAATATGATGATTTGTGATACTATTCCAAATTTTACATCGATAATAATAATAGTTGTTGAGATATAGCGCTGTGACGGACAGACAGAAATATGGACGAAGTCACAGTATAAGGGTTCATTAGTATTTTTTTGATACAGAACCCTAGAAAGCGACAACTGAGATTCTTGTTTATTCTTCTCAACTGAAATTTCATTCCTAATTGGATTGGGTAAAATTATAAAAAATGACTACAAAATTGCTTCAAAATAAATTTTCTTCGAAACAATATTCTATTCTATTGTAATAAGGATTATTATAATATATTTTTTTTTTACCCGACTTTACCAATTTTGTGATAAGCACGGGTTGTTTTTTAGATAAGGAAAATGTATTTGCGTATCGCGAATCTTTTGGGATCAAGTATGCGTGTGCGGTTCAAAAATATTGAAAAACAATTCGCTTATCGAAAAAGCCGCATTCGTATCGGTTCATTAACCGTTTTCGACCCTGTTCGGGAGCTATCGTGGCACAGATGAATACAGGAAAGCTTCAAATTTATGATACGGACCGTATTATATTATTTTGTATGGAAATTTAAAAATACAACGAAAAATGCTTTTTTGAATGAACATAAGTATTCAAATATGTATTTTAAAACACTTGCCTTAAATCACTCCATCATTTCGATCGTGTGACCAAGATACATTTTTTTTAAGCCACATAGAATGGCAAATAAGCTGACGGCCCACCTGATGGAGAGTGGTAACCGTCGACATGAGCAGTACCATGGACATAACAGAGTATAATGTTTCGCCAATGATAACTCCTATGCGTTGCTATTCCTGAGGACTCAGGTTTAACTCCTCTGTACCCTGTAAATTCACTGCCATATCCCACCCTTCAAACTTAGACACAGCCATGCAAACAACTGCTTCACGGTAGAAACACGAATGGGACAGAGGTGCCCAAGCAAATGAATTTTGTACAAAATCTCCCTGTGGTAAAAAAAAAAATATATTGATTGACTGAGGTAAAAAGAAATCTATGTCCTTCTTTATAATAAATATTGTGTTGCTCCATGGGGTTTTAATGGCTTTAACAATCGTCATGAAATTTGGCATACAGGTTGTATTTGGGATGAATGACATTCATCATTATTATCATCATATCAGCCATTAACCGTCCACTATATAATACTGGCCTCCTTCTTGGAGGATTTTGCCAGTAGCAGCCACGCTTGGCAAGTGGATTGGCAACTGCAGTTAGGTTTTGATCACCAAAACCTAACTGCAGTTTTAAGAGGGACGCTGCTGCCTATTCCTCGACCGTTAAAATTCTGTCCCTTATCGCCTGTTATGATATTTATGGGAAAGAAAGAAGTGATTCATTCTATGCCTGGACCACACGGCGTTGAAGGAAGTTACTATTATTTATTTGACACTAGTGGCCCGTTCCGACTTCGCACGGGTGGACATTTTTACATTTTAAAAAGTGCCCATTAAAGCTGCACATGCGACGGACATTTCCCTTCATTGCTCTGCTCCTGTTGATCGTAGCATGATGAAAAGTATACTATAACGTGCCCAGGAGTATGTAGAATAATGTACCGAGTTTCGTTAAAATCCGTCGAGTAGTTTTTGTTTCTATAACGAACATACAGACAGACAGACAAAAATTTTACTGAATGCATTTTTGGTATCAGAATCGATCACTAATCACCCGCTGATAGTTATTTTGGAAATATATTTCATGTACAGAATTGACCTCTCTACAGATTTATTGTAAGTATAGATTAATTTTTATTTCAAATGATTAACTTATTTCGGTCACATAAATAAAGTTGCAATAATAACTAATAACATAGTAGTATAAAAACAACAAAATTGGATTCAAAAATTGTCATATAAAATATATTTACATTTAATCTCACGTAAAATCGATGCGAATACATCATAGAAGAGAATAGGGTTTACGAAATTCGCCAATATATAACTCGTGTGAGATTAATGTACCGCTATTATTCGTCGGTTGGATTCCAATAGCGAGCGGTAGCGTAAAATATTTAGGCGCTTTATCGAGTAGACGCCGAATCAGTATATCGAATCGGGTTTTCCGCGGCTCATCACTATTTCACACCTCGCACACTCACACAGATATGTACTGTGTGGTTGTACATGTTCCAAATTTAAAATTATCTCTTTGCATTTTTTATATTTTATTTTATATTTCTCCCACACTCACACAGGTGATACATGTGATGTTTTACATGTTCTAAATTCAAAATTATTTTAATAGTGACGTCAAATATATTTATCGATATGTGACTATATTTTTTTATTTCCTTTCTTATCTTACCACTTGATCAAGGCATATACACATACTAGTTGACTTGGCAAACGATGTTCTGTAATATAAATAATTTCTTCTGAATAGGAACATCCTAATTACCAAGCGGTCTGAAAT